CATAAAATTCAATGGCTACATCAATCCCTAACACAAGAAATTTAGCTACTTAATTGTTCATGGAAATGCAATATAATCACAATGAGAATTTCATGATAAGCCACAAAAGTAAAGAGAAAGTAGAGAAACTAAAGTCGTTGTGTCGATTGATCAGTGTTTCCAACTCAACACACAATCCCAAGAATAGCTTCTTGATGCTCCAAAATCTCCCATTCTAACTTTTCTCTGAAGGGTCCCCAAAAACTTCCCAAAACGGCTTACAAAACCCTTTATTTTTAAAAGTTAAAGCAAATTGAAACTAGAAAGCTATAAATATTATAAGTTTTGTAGACCCACCATCTTTCTTCTTCTCTTATGAAATTCATAGTTGGATCGAGGGCGCTCTTCAATAGGATTCAAAGGTTTCATATCATTTTATATCTAGTTTAATTTTAAGATTGATTATATAACAATACCTTAATATATATATATTTAACAATAACCAAATGGATGGTGGAGTTAATGGGCTCATGGCCGAATGAGGATATCCCTCTCTCCCCAGTTCAAGCCCTGCGGGGATCGTAGTCGGGACTTTCCTTTCTTTCAAAGACGAGTCCCGCAACATCGGTTACAGTATTGGGTAGTCGTTGACACCCCCAATTATAGATAACCTCTTGTAAAACCCACGCAACATCGATTCCAGATTATAAAAAGATATATATATTTTGCAATTATTTATATATTTTACAATAAATTAGATGTAGAAAGAAGGATATGCATTAGATAATACATCATATTTTTTTGAAACCATAACATATCATTTTCATCTCACCTAAGATGAAACTAGCATGCCTGTTTTTTTTTATGGGTCTTAGAGTAGAATTTCAATTTATATATCAATATATATTTACATCATATCTCTATAGTTGGCAGGATTTGACATCGTTAATAATTATAAAAACTGTCCTAAGAAGAATAATTATTATAACTTTTTCAAAAAAAAAAAAATTATTATTATAAAAAATTAATGGTAATTTCTTTACAATCTGACGCATTTTGGATGTTAAATATTTATTTCATGTTATTCAATTGAAAATTTTAATTAAGGCCAAGTTGACTTTTATATTAGAAACTGGTTGGTTGTAAATTTGAACAACAAATGCGATTGCATGGGCTAGTTTGGTAACTCTCCGTTTTTAGTTTTTTTTTCTTTTATAGAAATAGATATGTGTGGTTGTTAATTGTTTCTTATTTTTTTCTTTAATTATTGTTGAAAAAAATATAAATATGTTCGGTAACAATGTCTTATTTCTTATTCTCGGAAATTTTTAAGTTAGAAGAAGTAAATTTTTTGTATGAAACTTAATTTTTTAAAATCAAATATTTAATTTTTTTAATGTTATATTTATCATGTCTTTTATAAGTCAAGAAAAAAAAAATGTTTTATTTATGTTTTTGAAAAAATAAAAAAAATAAAAAAATAAAGATCTTGATTTTGTTAGTTTTTAAAATTTCTATCAAAACTTTAAAAACAACATTTTCAATTAAGATTTGAGAAGTTTCTAAAAAATGGGTCAAATTTTAGAAACTAGAAAAATTAGTTTCATTCTTTCGTTTCCCTTTTTTAATTTAATTTTTATTTATGCGTCTGGCTCTAACTTTCTGCTCTATTAATTTGAATTCAGCTTCAGTTGGTAATATGTGCATACACCTAAATTACTCCATGATCCTCTCGGATGTCAAGACTAAATGATTACTAAACATATTCTCATTCCTAATTCTAAAAAAATTAGAAAGAAAATGAAAATAGAAATTAAGAATGTTTCCAAATCAGTCCGTAATTACCAAATACTTATTGAAAAACTAGAAATAAGAAACTAGGGAAATGAAAATGTAAGTAAACCAATAATATGTTCTTCCCCAAATGGCTTTTCATTCTATTCTATTCAAAATTGAAATCACATAATATTGTATTCCCAAAAAAGTAAAGCATTCCCAAAAAGAAAAAAAAAAGTGACTTCAACATTAGGTTGGCCAATTTGTATAAAACAAGAGGAATTTAGTGAGGTTTTTTTCTCACATCAATTGGCAAACTCCTTATAATTAACTTTAAAGATGTCCTTGCTTATCCTTTTCATTTTTGCTTGTCCTGCCATAATTGTTACTATAATTTTGTGTTATGCTTTTATATGTTGCGGATGTCCTTCAATAAGACATGCCTCGAGGCCACCCCCACGACGGGCGGTATACCGTGATGTGGAACTCGGGCAAGGCGCTCAAACAAGCCAAACCAAGGACGGAGGAATGACCATCTTGACCGGGGTAGGTCTCGGTTTGGCTACCGGAGCTGCGGTTGCTGAGTTAAGCAACAGCGGAGGAGGCTGTTGCGCTGGCTGTGGTGGAGGTGGTTGTTGTGCTGGCTGCAGCGCTGGCTGTGGTGGTGGCTGCGGTGGCGGTTGCGGAGGTTGATATCAAGGGAAACAAATGCAACCATCAAGCTTGATGTAAAATTGTCCTAAATTTGCTATGTGGCTTACTAATTTTCTTTCTTTTTTTTCAGCCTTTCTCCTCTGATAGAAAAAAACTATTGTGTATGATTTTTGCATTTTGATCCTGAGGTTTCTTTTTTCACTTGCTTCTCATATATTGGGTCATTAATTAATCCCCACCCGCCTAAAACCAAAGTGTTAGAAATCCTTAATTAAGGAGACCTTTAGTAAATCTGAAACATTCCCTAGCTTGATTCTTCCTTTGCTTCCGTCCTTTAGTGTATTCCACTACTGTCCCTAACAAACGTTTTGTCTAACTATTAGGGGATGTCAAATCGCTAAAATTCCTTGGTGATGATCTCCAATTTAGTAATCTAAAGTAAACTGAACTTCTCTCGTCTCATGTCCATGTTGCCCCGACTCCAAACTCGATGTTTGTTAATTAAGCGAGACATTCCCAAGCTCTTTTTATCAAACTCCTTTCTCGTTTCCTTGTATTGCCCTTACCATGTTGTTTTTATTATGTGTTCTTTATGTAGTGTCTAATTCTCCGATTATAACTAAATTATTTCTTTTTTTAAAATGTATGTTTTAATAACAGTGGTTATCATTAATATGTCTCTTCTTACAAATTTAATATTGCATTATTTTTCATAAAACAAAGATTTTATTAACGAAAAGGGAGAGAGCAATTACTAAAGAAGGCCTAGATAGCGCATCTCCCTCCCAAGCACACATGAGAGGAAATTAACACAAAGGGGTTTTAATCTAATAGAAAAAAATACTAAAAAAAAATAAAATATCTTTGAAAAACGTCAATTCTAGGATGAAAATTTTAGATTCATTTTGAATGAGATAAGTCATTTATCGACTTAATTGGGGATAGTGAAATATTTACCTGTTCAATTTTGGAGATCTCAATCTCCAATTTGTTTAATTTCTTTTTTAATAAACGTTTATTACTCTTTACTCATACATTAGTAAAAAAAATATTAAATATTTTTGTGAAATTAATGATGGACAGTAATAAATAATTTTGGAAAAAGTTAATTTTCTCCAAATTTTAACTTTGGAAATTCGTTTTTTTTTTCAAACTTATTAATATTTCATTATTTTTACTAATAAAAGAATGGAGAATTTTTTTTCTTCATTATTTTGGACTTTGGAGCATGCTCTGATCTTTGAACATCAAGGTGAATTTGAGTATAATTAAACTAATTAAAATGTCTATCTCCAACAAAAATGTCGTGAGTTTTATCATTATTTTCATATGTTGTACTAAAAAACAATCATGAAATAAAGGATAAGGATTAAACTTCTCCAGAAGTTCGAGAAAATGGAGAAGACATATCGTCTCTGACTTTGCCATACCCATGATGTCATTCAAATTATAAGCACGAGTGAAAGAAACACTAATTTCTATATAAAACACAACCCATTTAATAACAAGATAATAAAATTTAATAGTAAGATGATAAAAAATATATATACATATTAGTTTAGCTCAATTATCATTATGTCATTAAAGATTATTTTTTTTTATTTGATTGAAATTTAGTCTAGTTAATTCAAACAGCATACAAGTTTCTACGTTTATATCCATCCAAACAGCATGGAAGTTCGACCGCCCATTAAAATAGAAATTAGTGTAGTAAAAAAAAAAGGTTAAAATTGAAAGTAATCTACTTCAATCATTTTTTTACATTAACATCTTCACGATTATAGACTCGAGATCAATTTCTATTTTCTTTCAATAGAAATTAATTCATTGGACTAAAAATATGAAACTTTATACTAATTCATCAAGTTCAATTACTTTCTAGTTGATTTCAGAAACTAAAGCTCATTCCCTTCCTCTTTCAAGAAATTTCTAGGCACTAGACTTAATCCCAAACTTCCCTCGATAGAGCACTTAATTGGATGTTTTTACAACGATTTAAAATATTCATTTAAAGATTTAGTGTAGGTCTTTCTTCTTTTTTAGTCCGTTGATCTTCCCTCAAAACTACTATATTTGATTGTTATTGAACTTCCAAACAGTAACAACTATGGTTTGAACTCATTTTTTCGAAGCTCTTTACTTTTCATCAACGACGCTTCATTTATTCAACTTTTAATTTGAAATTTCTTCTAGTTACCATTAAATATTTTATTTTTATGTGCTATTTAAGATCCTTTGGTAAGGACTCTCCATTATTTTTAGTGATCACTCATATTCTTTTTCATTTTTTTCATACAAAACAATAATTTTATCTTTTTTTTTTAGTTATTTCCATTACATAAATCAACAAACCATATATAAAACAAAACCACCATGGAATAATCCTTCCCTTCTTTCCTACAAAGAAGAATGAAACTTTAAGGTGGATTCCTCTTTATACCAAAAGCCAAATAAAATTTATCACAAAAACAAAAATCAATATCACACAATGACTTTCCAATGTCATTTCCTTGAGGAGTTTATATAGAGCAAGGAAACTTGAGGAGTTTTTTCTGCCCATTCAGATCAGTGAAGTCCCAGAAATACTAGAAATGAAACCTTATACCACCATTCTCATAATCTGCAGTTCTGTGATAGCTGCAGTTGTGATTTTATGTTGTCTTTGCATAATTTTCGGTCGTAAGAAGAAGGAAACAGGACGACTAACTCCAGCTTCGAGTTCAACTATTGGTTCGAGGCTGCCATGGCCGCGACAAACATATCATGTTCATGATATTGAACCTGGACAAGGGGCTCGAACAAACAGACAGGGTGCTCGAGGAAGTGGGATCAAGGACGGCGGGATGGCCATCTTGGCTGGAGCAGGCACTGCTATAGCTACTGCAGCTGTGATTGCCGGTTTGAGTAGCGAAGGAAGAGAGGGTGTCTATGGTGATGACTGTGGAGATGGTGGCAGCAGCGATGGTTATGGTTATGATGGTAGTTGTGGAGATGGTGACGGTGGTGGTGATTGTGGAGATGGTGGGAAAGGCGGAGGTGGCGGCTGTGGAGATGGTGGCGGGGGCGGAGGCTGTGGTGGTGGTTGTGGAGGATGTGGTGGTGGTTCTGAACTGTGAAGATGGATGAAAAGTGAAACAAGGGCAACACTAAGCTTTTTCAGATTCCTTTGTTGCTTACTTGTTCCAACTTCCAACTGGCTTTTCTTATTCCAAAGTCTTTCTTCTTTGTTAAGAAACAATTCTAGTTTGCTTTTGTTATTAGCTTTTTGGTCTATCTTTTTAATTTTATTTTGATATGAGTTATAGTTTTAGTATGAGCTGCAAGTAACTTTATTTGTATGGAGCAAAACAATAAAAATGATACTTGTGGTTTACTAATAGAACCCGAATTGGGAATTGAAAATATATTGAAATATAAAAAGATATAAGAACTACAGTAACTTCCCAAGTAATCTGAGGTACTTGGACCCTCCCCTCTCTTGAGTATTCTTACTCAAGTCTCTTGAGTATTCTTACTCAAGCCTAAACCGTACTAACCAATTGTCTACCTTCATCATCTCTCCCTCACCTTATTTATAACCAAACTCCCTAACCCAATTATTAATACATCCTTAATACCCTAATAATATCTCCAACCTATCCTAATAGTAACCTATCACTATTTAAGGAATATAGATTAAAACAAGCTTCTTCGTTTAGATTTGAAAAAATAATTCAGTAGTACATGCTCCCTCCGTGGTATTCAGCCACGTAATCTGACCACACTATTCACTATTCTATTAAGGTAGTACTGAAAAGAATAGTTGCCAACTTACTAAATTGAACAAAGACTATATGTTATGGTTGCCCTGTAGTAGTGACAGCTTCTATCATTTATGAGTAACCTGCAGCAAAAAGGAGCATCATAAAAATAAGGAAGCACGACAGAAATATCAGCGCTGAAATTGAAATAACAGAGTCAAGTAATAAACAACAATCCTGTCAAACTAGATCATTAAATCGCCCGTGAACTCCAAAAAGCATCATAATAAGATATGTTAGATGATTTTCCCCTTGAGTAAGTTCAACATTTTAGAAGTGACCTTAAGAAGAGAACCATTATTTATTATTATTACTTTTTATATCCCATCAATGTTCGTGCCAACTTGCACGCACCTCAACTGATCTCATGGAACAACCTCTTGACCCTACTATATTTGGTTGCCAAGGAAATTCGTAAGATATTAAATTCTAAGTAAGTGACTACTATGGTTTGAACTCATTCCTTCTAAATCCTTTACTATTTACATTAGTCCTTGACCACACCATGATGATTAAGAAGAGAATCATTAATGACAAACCTCTTCCACATCTCTGTCTATGCTATCCTGATGGAGAATCTTTGGACCACCTTTTCCTCCATTGCTCTTTGGCCTTAGTGAATGGTCTTGCATTTTGGGCTTTTGGAAGCCGCCATGGTCTAGCAGCTTAAAGGCAAGGCCGAGGTTCTTCGAAATTGTGCATGTAGAGCTCCATTGTGGCTTATTTGAAGAGAAACCAAAAGAATTTTAAGACAAAGATGTCTAGATTCTGTTTGTTAACAATGTAAAGCTTTCGTAATTATAGCCTTCTTATGATCAACATGGATTGAATTGAATCTTCTTTTATTGTTACTTAGAGCGGGGGTTGTACCTTGTGAAACACAGCTTCCTCCCAAGTTTTAAGAAGCAACATAAACCCATCTTATGTTCGAAAAAGCCGATGTAAGAATCACTTAGCAACTTTAATACGTATAATTCCCAATCCCATATCAAAAAAGTGAAGGATTTCTCACTTCTTCCTTCTTAACACCAGCATCCGGATTGTGGAAATATGGAACTTTTTGATTTTAAGATTTTCTATATGTACAGCTTTATCTCTCAACACCTTCTTTCACTCGGACCACTCCTCAAACTGCGCACAGCCTGGATGAATCTCTTGCTTAATCAGATCATGAATGCCCACAAGGTGATGTCTCCTATATCCATGACAAAAATGTAATTCCAAATATCAGGTATTGTAGCAACAATTCTCAAGAAATCAATCTGATTCTGCCACTTTTTCATTGTTATGATATCTAAGGTTTTCCTATTTCTACTGCCAAAATGCAAATAATCTGTGTCATCTCTTTTATATCTTTGTGGGATCGATCTCCTGCATGGAATAGATGGACTTTATCCTTGATTACTATCCAACTACAACCTGGACTCTTCTTTATCCCTTTTGATATCTTCATCGACCTTATAAGCTCATCTTCCTTCTTATCACCAGAAATAGAGTGTAAATTAGATAAAACCACATAAGGTGTTGCATTATTAGGTTCCAGTTCAAAGAGATTTCGAGCTGCAAGCTCTGCAACATCGAGACGCAGGTGTGTCCAGCTTGCTCCGAGCATTGCTCCCCAAACACCCTGATGAGGGTCAAATGGCATCGACGAAATCAAATGGACTGCTTCATTGAACATTCCAGCTCGGCAAAGGAGATCAACCATGCAAGCATAGTGATCAGCCTCAGGTTGAATGTTGCACAATGATCTCATAGATTCGAAGTATCTCCACCCCTTTTCCACAAGTCCCACATGGACACATGCCGAAAGAACACCTAAAAAAGTGATCTGATTAGGTTCCAGGTATTCATCTTTCATTTTCGTGAATAACTTAAGAGCTTCTTTCCCAAGTCCATTTTGAGCTAGACCTGTAATAATGGAGTTGTAAGTAACAACATTAGGAACTTCTATATAATTGAACATCCTCAGCGCATCAGCCACATTTCCACACTTTGAATACATGGAAACCAGAGAGTTTTGGATTGATAAGTCAGATTCCATACTCATCTTTGTCACAAGAGCATGGACCTGCAACCCTTGGCTTAATATTGCGACACCAGCTGCGGCACTAAGCACACAACTCAAAGTGAGTGGATTTGGCTTGATTGCTTTCTGAAGCATCTGAATAAACCAATGGAAAGCTGCCTCATATTCCTCATTGCTCACAAGCCCTGAAATTACAGCAGTCCAAGCGATATCATCCTTCTCAGGCATCATTTGAAACAAACCAATGGATTTGTCAACCATTCCCTTGCTAGCAAATCCAGTTATCAAAGTCGTCCAAGAAACCACATCCTTTTGTGGCATGTTCTCAAATAGTAAGTAAGCTTTTTCCACATTCCCAGATTGAACATAACCTGCAATCAAAGAATTCCATGTAACTGTATCTTTCTTGACCATTAAATCAAATATTTTAGCAGCTGCATCAATAAAATGACATCTACAATACATCGTGATCATAGAATTTGCTTGATAAGCATCAAAGTCAAACCCCAAGATTAGAGCCAGCCCGTGGATCTGAATCCCTTCTTTGTATCGATCAAAACAACCACAAAGTTCAAACAGAACGGTTAAGGTAGTTGCATTAACCTCCACCCCTTCCCTTCTCATATTTATGAACAATGTGAAGCCATCTTCAAAACTGTCCATTTTCATATACCCATTAATCATTGTTGTCCAAGTAACCACATTTCTTTCAGGCATTTTATCAAACAACTTTCTAGCCCCAATAACATTTCCAACCCTGCAGAGCCCATCCATCATGGAGCTCCAAGAAACCACGTCTTTTTCTTCCATACCATCAAAGATCCGAACGGCATCCTCTATTCTCCCCACCTTCAAATACCCATTGATCAACACATTAGATGACACCGTAACCGGCTTTTCACGATACAACTTCTCAGCCTTATCAAACATTCTAGCATTGACAAACCCAGTGATCATGGTCGCATAGGAAACAGAATTACGCTGAGGCATGCTAGAAAACAGCTCAAAAGCCTCCTTTACCATGTTTCTCCTATGGTATGCCGTAATCATCGCATTATAGGATGCGATACTTCGGTCAGGCATTTTGTCAAACACTTCCTGCGCTTTACTCGTTTTGCCATTTTCAGCGTATGCCGTGAGCATGGCAGTCCAGGAAACGGTGTTCTTGTGGGGCATACGATTGAAAATGGACTCGGCTTCCTCAATACACCCATTCCTTCCGTGTTTCGTGATCTGCGAGTTGCAAAAGACGAGGAACTTGCTGCTTTTCCGGGTTCTGGCAGATTCAAAATTCTGGGGATTTGGAAGTATTTGAGTGGAAAATTTTAAAGGGCGAAGCTGGAAATTTGAACGGGGAAACTTAGGGAATTGTTTGAAGACGAGGGTGGCGCTTGATGTTGCCGTCATGCTCCAGAAAGTTTCATGCTTGGCGATGGAGAACACAAGCTTTGCACCTGTACGCCAACGCTGTAACAAAGTCCTACGAAGGTTTGTTCATTTTACCGGGAAAATTTTCAACTTTTCTTGAAATAAGGTCTTTAAAGAGACATTTTTACCCCCTCAAAATTTTCAGTTATTAAAAACTTGTTTATTGCAAGGTTTTAAACATCGAAAAAATTCAACGTCTCAATTTCGTAAAATATCAATATAATAACCATGTAGATGGATATTTCTAAAATAATTATAAAAATAAAGATGTATAACAAACCTTTAAATTAAGTTAAAAATTGTTAATATTAATATTATGTTTATATTAGTAATATTTTATATATTTTTTACAAAAGATCGTTTATAGACCTAAATTTAATACCTTGATTCATTGTTGTTTTGTTTTTTGTTTTTTATTTTTTATTTAAAAAATTATACTTATTTTCTAGCTTTTTTTTTTTTGTCTTTCTTTTCTAATATTCTTTCAAAACATTCTTTCAAAACGATTTTTAGATCGTAGTTAAGTTTAAGAAAAAAATTGCTTCCTAAGTTTTTAAAGCTATATTTTAGGCTAATGGAAAATAGCTTAATTGATCTAGCAATCATAATGGGTGTATAACCTTTGACCTTTTGGTTGAATTCGTATACATGCTCAAGTTGACAATCGTAGTGGTTGTTGATCGGATAATGTTAATATTGTAGTTCTAATTTGAGAAAACAAAATCGTCTCTCGAAGACATGATTTGTTTAAGAGACGACATATATTAACTTTAAATTATGTCATTTCTTGAAATGCAACAACTTTTTATCACTTAACAAAATCCCAAGTTTTCTATTCATTGATAACATTAATGTGTCAAATTTTATTTTCAAAGACTTAACATTTGGTTTTAGAATCTGATTAATTGTTACAAAACATTTTTAATAAGTGAACATACTAAACAAAGAAAATATAAGTAAATATTATGCGCCTAATTTAAAATATGGAAATGAAAAAATAAAATCATTATCTGAGAGACTTTTTTTTTTTTAAATCTTCTATTTTATTTCATTGAGATCAACAATTATTGGATAAGAAATTGAATCATGTCTTATTCACTAAGTTAAATCATTGACAAGAACTTTTAGTTTGTTATTACGTTTTTTTTTCCTTTTATTAATCAAAATTCAATATTGACAAGAACTTTTAGTTTGTTATTACGTCTTTTTTTCCTTCTTTTAATCAAAATTCAATACTGTGGCAATTGAGTTCATTGCCAAAACAAGTTTCCCTATAACAAATACAGTGTTAATATTGTAAGTTTATGGTATAAAGATTAAAAAATAAACAAATATTTGGGCAATAAAAATTACTTCTTTACTTTATTTACCTTAAAATAAAATAAAGTAACTCCTTTATTTATAACCTTTCTTCTCACACACATACAAAATAAATAAATATAAAAAGAAACTAATTGAATTATTATCATTCACACAGCATTAATATAAATTTCATAACAAAATGCTTAGATAACATACCGATGAATTATGATGCAACAAAATTTAGATGGAAGCACTAATATAAAATGCTTATTAAATTAATTATGCTCAAGAATCATATCAGCAACATTTAGATAGAGATGCTAACGTAACATAACATGTTGATTAAATTAATTGTGGTCCAATTAACACACATTTACACCAAAATGTTCAATGAACATGAGCACAGTCCAACTGTTTAAGGCATCTATCTCCAACTAAAACATCTCGAGTTCGAATTCCCACTCCAATATGTTGTACTAACAAATAAAAATATATTTACACAAAATCGTTTCAATTGAATTTACAATGTGCATTGCAGTAATATTTTATGGAAGTACCCTTCCATTGCAATAAAACAAGCTCACATTCAATATGTTATTTCGCTAAAATGATTATCATAAATTACACCTATAGTTTGTAAAAATCTCAAAATCATTCTCGTGTCTCAGAAAATGGTTCTAAATTTTAGTTTGCAAAATCTGCAAATTTATAGTTTGTAAACCTAGTAGCAAGCAAAAGCTATTGGAGTACAATCAATGGGAAAGATGTATATTTGACTCATACCAGAGGCCAGGTCTCAGCTGTAGCTCATCAAAAATAGCCAACAAAAGGAAGTCCTGAGAATTGAAGCATATATAAAATGTTGCTATATAAGATCACCTGCAAAAAAAATGAAGCATAGATAACCAGTTGTAAGGAATGCAATTGAGGGAGATGTTTCCTGTGGTATTCTCATGTGGAGTAAATGACAACCATTAAACAACCTAGTTTGAGGCTTGAAACCAAAAGAATAAGCAGGAGAATTTATAAATAATAATTTATTAATCGATTTAATAAGTAGTACAAACACCAAAAGGCAATAAAAGTGATGAATCTTTTCAGATGCTAAGTTGTAACAATTTTCCAAATCTATATGTTTCAGGGTCAAAATGATGAATCTTTTGAGAATAGTCCAAAATTTTCCTATTTCAAGATTTCCAAATCTCATGAGGAGTTATTTAGACTTTATCATTTAACATGCTCTTTATTTTTTCTTCGGGTGTGTTTGAATCAGCTTGAGTATACCTTCAATATCCTCGCGGATATCCACCTAATCCTACACCATTTAGCTACCAAAAAACCTATTTAAGAACTTTTAACTCTTAAATATACTTCTTGACAAAACCTCCAAACACCATCAACACCCATCCCCACCCCTCCCACCAAAAAAACCAGCCTAGAGTGGACTTCAATTCTTTTGCGCTTTTTCACTAAAGCTTCAATACTTGATACCAGACACCCACCCGCACATTGCACTTAGCACCAAAAAAAAACATAAAAGAAAAGAAAAAGAAAAGTAAAACCCTCCAATTCAGCTCTCAACACTGTCACTGCTACACAGATCCAGCAACCACATCAGAATAACATTTTTAAGAGGCACCCACAAAATCCTAAAGAGCCTACAAGTTTTCAATATCAAGATGTGGTGAGAAGTTACAGCACAAAATAACTGAACCTTAACTGTATATTCTATCTAGTGTAATTTGCACATTTTTTCATTATTACCAGATCTCTACGCTTCTTCCATATTGTAGACAATATTGTATAACTAAATACTTCTACAGGCCATAGCATCATCCATATTCCACACAAATATTTAAATTTTTTTTCTCACAGCACGTTGGACAGCACCAACTTCTAATTCCAAGAACCACAAGGGAACGGGCCTGAGAATATTAAGATCCAAATTCTTTTGTCACTTGTGAACTCGATAAGGTTGTAGTAGTACATCAAGGATCTTATGTGAAGTGAGAGATTACAAGGTCCCTTTAGTCTTTTAGACGTAAAGAAATAATAAATATAACCTTAACCAAACCCCCAGTAGCAGTAGCCCATAGTGACGACTTCCACAATAAGCATTAGCATGACAAAAACTACGTTTAATGTAATACCAGCAATTTATCTTCTAATATATGTCCTATTTGAGTTCATTGCTCCAATGGTCCAAAGCAATCTGGCGGCCAGACCTGAGAGCAAAAGAAAAAAGAAATCTTCAAGTAAGCAAAAGTAACGAGGGAGAAATGCGCTAGAGTCTTCAGTCTAGAGATAAGCTACAA